GTTGGATATGAATAAAAATAAAAGAGTAAAACCAAGTTCTCAAGACTAGTGAGATTTAAGTGAAGGGCTTGAAACAAAATCTGTTAAATATTTTAACATTTGGCTAGAATGATTCAGTATTATCTCATAAATCAGTTAATGCAAATCTTGATGCTCATTATGTAATTTTGTTCTGCCTACAATTATTTATTAGTTGTTTGACTACATAATAATGTATCTTGATTTCCAGGAAGCTCTAAAGGCCTTGTGGGATGCTGCCTTTCCTAATATTAAGCTTAGAGGCTTGATCTCTGAGCAGTGGAAAGATATGGGCTGGCAAGGGGCAAATCCGTCAACTGACTTCAGGTACGGTTGCATATTATCTTAAAAAAAAAAAAGCACATCTTCCTCTGAGTAATTCTTCAGTCTCTTTCGTTGTAATATGCTTTAAATTTAGGATGTCCAAGTTAGAAGATGCCTCTTCGAGTTATAATTTTGCAGATTTGACCATGTTTATGCTTGTTAATTTGGTGAAGACCATTTCAAATAACAAAATTATTGTGTAATTATGCTACCTTGTTGTTCTTAGGGGCTGTGGATTCCTTTCGCTCGAGAACTTGCTATTTTTCGCGAGAAATTATCCGGTATGGTCAATCAATTGCCTGCTGCATCCAAGAACAAATAATAAAACCTGCGATGTTCTGTTAGGAAAGATGTTCTTTTCACTAACAGGAAGCATTTGAAGGCTACTTTCCATAGGTTACTTCTAAAACAAGGTGGAGAACGTGCTAAATGGGAATACCCGTTTGCTGTAGCTGGCATTAACATTACTTTTATGCTGATTCAGATGCTCGACTTACACTCAGGTGCAGCTCACTTCAGTGTTGTCTATTGACATGTTAAATAATGTCTTCCTGGACTTAAATTTTATTTTTTTTTTGTTACAGAAAAACCAAGATGTCTTCCTGGACTTAATTTTATTAAGTTGTTAGAAGGTAAATAATGTCAAATCTCAATGTGTTTTACCTCTTCTTTTCTTTTCTCTTTTACTTGTTTTGGTTCTTTAATTTTTCACTGATGACAAATTATTTCTCACACGGCTACAGAAGATGAAGATGCATTTGATATCCTGTATTGTATAGCTTTTGCAATGATGGACGCTCAGTGGCTTGCCATGCATGCTTCATATATGGAGTTCAATGTGGTTTTCTTCTCTTTACCTCAGACTTTTTCGCTNNNTTTTTTTGTGTAAAAAAAAACTTTAGTTGAAGAAACTTAGGGGGGGACATTTTGAATGAGCCTTTTTTGCACATTTCCAGTCATATGCTCAAAACATGAAATAGACAAAATCATGTTTTTTGATAAGTAACAAAGGGTGATTCATGATCGAAACATTTTCGAGTCCTGTTTTACGATTCAAACCATTCACATTGACAAAACCGATGGTTTTTCATATTAGTTTCATTTTTTTTTTCTCAGGAGGTGCTACAAGTAACGAGAACACAATTGGAGAGAGAAATGTCTTTAGAAGATACTAACAGGATACACGACCTTCCAGCTTATAACATGTTGCATCAACAGTGATACGCATAGTCCAAAATATTTAGATGCAGTAGAAATGTAAATTCTCCACGTAATTTCGGAGTATTGTTGTTATGTTTGCTGTGTAAAGGATTATCAATTTTGCTATTTTCAGAAGATTGGCTAAGAACATATATTGCAATTTATACACTTTGCTACCATAATTTTTTCCACTAGGCATGGGTGAAGCACTCGTGGGCTACGCATTGGGCGCACGCACGCGGCTGACTTGCGGACCAAGTGATTTTTACAAATAGTTTTGGTAAACCCTAATGATTTTTTGGTTTTTCATAAGAGAAAATTGGGGTTATGGATTCTTAAGGGATCCTTGATACGGGAAGCTGTAGAGGGTCCACACATCCAGTTCAGCGGCACATTGAACACATGAACTCATATGTTTAGTTCATCAAATAAGGGATGTTTCTCAATGAGTCAAGCAATCCATTCATGTAGAATCAAATATTGATTCTCAAAGATCAAGTTGTTCTCTGTAGCAACCTTCTTCATATCCTCGCTATTTCCGAAAATGAAATGAAAGAAATTCGACCCTGACCTCCAGAGATTGTCGTATCCTCCAAATTATTCCCATTTTTCTTTTCACCGCTAACAAACTTGCTTACCTATCCCCAACAATTTTTCCAAGTAAACTCCTTCCACATTCCTCTTTGCTCGATTTTATATCCACTGTACGATTATCCTTTTCTGGTAGTAAAAAGTTCTTCAATCGTCTCTCCACTTCTTCCTCGAACTCCTTTACTTTAGCCAGACCTTATGCATTAGCCTCCATCTCAACGTTGCGGAAATAGAACCTTCACAACCCTAGAAGGACTAGGGGTACTAGAGCTTTTCGCAAACCACCTTGGATGATGCAAAATTAACTCGAAGCCACCTTTGCATGTAGGAATTGATCACTCTAAGAGGGAGAATCAGAACGCTCTTAGAGAGAATTTGGAAAATTGTATTGATAAAACAGAATAAAAGATTCAATTGTTATGGTTTGGACAAGTAAAAATTCACAGAAAATGAAAATGGAACTAGATTCAAGCTAGGTATTAAAACTCGGCCTATGCGCTAGAAGGCACCGAAGCGCCCCAACTTTTGCCTAAGCAATCGTTCGAACAATTAGACGTCTATTGTAGGATAGAAGTTGCTCACCGCTAGCGGACCGTCGAGGCTAGAGATGTTAAACGGGCTAGCCCCAGCGGGATTTAGGATAAACGGTCCGGGCTTAAAAGTCCGGATTTAAACGGGCTATACGCGCTAATAATAATAATAATAAAATCAAGAAAATAATATATAAAAAATTACAACGGCTAGTTAACGATTTTTTCCAACGGCTATCTAGTATTTACTACTATGTATATACAGTTACACCTCATATATCAACACACATTACAAACTCTTAAATAACATTTTTTATCAAAAAAAAAGATAAAAATCAAACTACTACTTGTAATTACCATTTTACTACTTATTCTATACGCTTTGAGAAATTTCACGATATTTTATCATACTGATGAATCTATATTCTATCTCTATATTCTATGTGTTAGGTCTTTGTCTCATATTTCCTATTATCCGTTCTGATTGGCTTAAATATTTTGGAGATAAGTAGAATAACAAAATTGTTAATAATTATCTTTCAAGCTCATAATAACTCGTTACATCTCATACTTACATGTGAAGTAAAACAATAGAATTATAATATACAAGGAATCATAGGACATATTCCTTACTTGTTGCAATCATTTACACCGCTCAACCCAAGTTAAACGGGCTAGCCCTAGCGGTTTCAGCTAAATGGTCTGGATCTAGAAAGCCCAAATTTAAACTGGGTACCAATAGAAGGCCCTAACCTTGTTTTTTTTTTTTTTCGAGCTAAACGAGCCAAGGGTCAAGGACCCGTTTAACATCTCTAGTCAGGGAAACTTTTGGGCAACGAAGAAGTAGTAGTTTAGCAACAAACTCAAATCACCACAATTTAAGTCAAACTTAACCTAACCCTATCTTGTAGACACTCCACTTTGCACCGAACTGAAAATGCTTCCACAAGAACCGAACAAAAGAAGTTTTAAGGCTTAAACATTTATAGAAAACCATACTAATAAAAGAAAGTGCGTATCCTGAATATTGATCTGCAAAAACTTCTCCACACTATTAATTACCAACAGTCATAAAAAACTATTCAACAGTTGACATACCACAGAACTTCTTGCANAAAAAAAAAAAAAAAAAAACTAAAAATGAAAATGACAAAAGATGTCCCGTCTCAGTTCGTTAGTTCAGTTGCGCTATAAAATATTAACAAAGCGCTTGTTAAGTCCACTCATCATATCTCATCTGTTCTTAGCAAATACAATAAATAATATTCCAGCAGGAAAAAGGGAAAATGTTGGTGTTTTAGACGTGCCTTATTCCGGTGAAATAGTTGAAATCATGGTGCTCGACCCGTAATTGCTTTAGCCAAGAATCTGCCACGCTCAAAAGCGACATAATTTTTTCCCCATCATGCCCTTTCTTGTCTGATATCCAAACATCACCTTGCATCTTGTAAGTGGCCAACCCGAATGGAGGGAGTGAAATGTAATTGCTCTCCCCTTCCTTTTTTTCACTCCCTTGCTCCATATCTGTCATATAATTCCCAGAATTATTATATTCATTTTATTTTTTAAAACACATTTGCAAATAAGAAATATTGGATTCATACCTTGAAAAGAAGAAGAAAGTGTGTGGTAGGAAAGGAAGCACGTCTGCAAGTCTTTCATAGTTGTACCGGTAGGAATATGGTAAATTGGGTACCTGAATGTCGTGAATTTATTGATTCAACATGTAAATAAATAAAAAAAAAAAAAAAAAAAAAA